CTGTGCTCTTCTTGGCACGGTCACCCATTCAATGTGGTAAAAAGGAAGGGCGAAGTAACACAATAAGCGTGAATTGCGTCCTTGAAGGCAAACTGTACGGCAGCCTCCGGTGCCATCCTTTCCATAAGCGAGATGAGTGGGTCCCCAATTGAGTAGCGTGCAACTTTCTCCGCTCAAAACTGCCTGTACAGAAAAGAGGCTGACGAGTAGTGATACCTAGATGCCGTCTCTCAACTCTTCAACGAAAATAAGAGGGCGCAAGCACGTATGGCTACGGTTAGGCGTGTGGCTGGCCGTGCAGAGTTGTTGGGCGCCCCCCCCCTCCCTCAATCCCGTTGCCGTGCACCCTTGAGCGAAGAAAGTAGCAGGCTACTGCAATAGCGCGCATTAAACGGATTAGGATCCACGAAGATGAGTGTACAGTTTGTCCTCAACTAATGGTCTAAATTCAACAGTGTGTAGCTTTCCATTTGCTGCACAAATCTCATATTGCTTCACTTCCAGGTACAAGGACAGTAATTGGGTCCCACACATCATCGCCACTTTTGTTGGACTCCGTCAAGCCAGTCATCACATCCGATGGGCTGGATATTACTGTGAGAAGAAAACTGAATAAAGCGCATGGTGAGTCTCCCTTATATTCCACTTTCACGCTTCCGTGAGACCTCACAGCCGTGTATGACCATGATCAAGATGTATTCAGCGGGAGTGGTAAAATTAAGAAAACAATTTCCATTAAGGCCGTATACGACTTTCATCCCCAGCGAGCAGGGACGCCGCCCCTCCGTCTCTTTTGGTGGATAGGGCTTACTATTACTGTACACTGACTGCTCTCCGTTTCCCACCTGGGTGAGAACTGTAAATCCTTGCGAAGCTGCGAAATGAAATAAATTCCGCTGAGCCAGTTTGATGAGACCTGTAAATTTTTGTAGGCGTACGGAATAGCAGCTTCATGACTTCATGGCTGTCTTAGCTTTACAGGAGTTCGAGGCCTTCACAAGATGGCCTGTGCAAGTTTCAGGCTACAGCCGTTGGACTCAAGAATTTCGGCAACCCAGCCCATTTGTAAATTGCCTAAGTCACCAAATCCGCCAAAAACTTGTATATAGGGGTAGTTTAACATCCTGATTAAGAATATGACATTCACTTTTGTCGCTGGCGTCAAGAGAGGACACTAGGATCACCTCCTAGGCTCAGCCTTAGCAGAGCGCAGATAATCGTAGTGTCATCCATTAGCGCCAGCGACAAGAGCGAATGACATATTCTTAATCAGGATGTTAAACTACCCCTATATACAAATTTTTAGCAGATTTGGTGACTTAGGCAATTTAAAAATGAGCTCGGTGCCGAAATTCTTGGAGTCAAACGGCATTAGCCCAAAGTTTTTCACAGAAGGTTACTTCAGGCCTTCACAAGATGGCCTGTGCAAATTTCGCAGACGGCTGGTTCGTAGCTTGACGGGAGCTTACGGACTTCATGTTGATAAGAGGTACTGAGATGCCACCTCTCCCACCCCCCCCCCCGTTAAACGAACAGTGTCCTAGCAAGGAAACAATAACACGTGGTGCGCTTCGGATCTCCTAGTCGGTAGCCACATTTATTTGTTTGCTCATTGCCTTATTGAATACTCGGGACTCGAATAAACTTTACCTTGAAATGTCCAACTTATTCTATCTTCTTATCTTCTCAGCTATCTTGATGGTACTCTCGTGGTTGTTCTTCGTCCCAACCGGCATGATGTTTGCGCGATTCCTCAGGGATTTCTGGTCTGGCACAAAGCCGGGAGGCCTCACCGTCTGGTTCCACGTGAGTCGGCATTCCATCGAGTCGACCTTTCAGTATTCGAAAATTCGAATATAAAACAGCTTTGAGCTTGACATTAGGTATTGGTTTTACGCAAATGTATGATCGACACTTATTTTTCGTATTTTTGGCACGTCTGCCCGGAACGGTAGGTCCGAAATATGAGCTGATACAGTCATGATCCTTGCAAACGGTAGGGCGTGAGACGGAGTCATGGCTTGGAGCGCAGCTAGATCAGTTTTCCCATCAGCTGTATCCTGCTCAGAAGGGCATCAATGGTGGAAAAGGGCGCCTTGGCTGCGCTACAAACCGTGGCGTGCCACACGTCCCATCGTTTCCAGGGATCGCGGCTGTACGTAATGGGAGTAATATTTTCTTACCCAAACTAGCATAGGAGAGACATTGAACTGGACTCTCCATTCTTTAACCCTCCGAGGCAAAAACTCAACGTTCAGGTGCATCGTACTTGCAACCTTATTGCAGTTGTTCTGATGATTGCCTCGTTCATTTGCATTATGAT